TTTTTTTTCAGTGTACTTACATCATTTATTACGAGATGTATTATTTAAATAAATTATATATAATTAAAATATATATAATTATATATAAACATAAATTATATATAAACGTAAATTATATATAAACTTTATATAAATTTATTCCGTTAGTATTATAAGTTTTGATTTATTTCTTGTTGTAGACATTCCACTCTGTTATATAATCATTTATTAGGAATTTAATTCATAAGCCGAAGAAAATTATTTCTTCTTGTGTATTCAAAAGATATTTTAAAAAGAATTTGTCCTCAATTAATTGATTAACTGATTAAATTTTTATCGTTAAAATCTTTATATCGATTAATTTCATTTGTTGAATTGACACGTGTATAATAAGATTGTACAACACAAGCTGGACATCTTTGTATCCCAATTAAGAACACATAGGGCGGTGGGATTCTCTTGATTTTGTCGAATCACGAGTCAGCACCATCTGTGTCCTTTGCGCCCTTTGAAAGATCGATTTACCACCGCAAGTCACATTCGCACTTAACATTAAATTAATCGATTTCGATTATCTCGCTATTGATTTTACGACGAGACTTCGCTAAATCAAGGTATCCCCCTTAACGTCATACTTAACGTTTAACGTTTCCAGAAAACTCAAATCATAATAAGATGAATACATCACAAGAAATAATTTTAGAAAAATCATAATGTCATTTGACATTTATTTTTGGCGATAATTTTGTGATGAAATTCTTGGAATTCTTAACATGATAATAATTTTTAAATGATTTTGTAATTATAAAATATATCGACTGTCATTATGATTTTTCGGAAAATTGACGTTATATTGAACCTTATTATCATTTTCTTAATTAAATTTTTTTAACTAAAAAAATTATTTAAATATTATTGTTATGTCAAAAATTTATCACAAAATCATTGTTAAAAGTATATAAAATAACATTATTATGATTTTTCCTAAAATAACTTGATGTCATCCTGATCTCATGATAATTTTGTGTTCTCTGGGTTTGATTTTTACAGTAATCAACGGAAATAAATTAATTGCTCTTGGCAAAAATTCTTGTTTCATACCAGTTGAATTTGCTGTTGAACTCTTGAAATACGTATCGGAATACCTGATGTGTGATTGTTCAATATATTACCAGGATGAAGTACTGTACATAAATTACTTTTTTCAAAGCGACTTTACGGTGAATTTGCTATCATTTCCCGAGTTCTCATCGTAATAAAAAAAAAACCGCAAAATTTGCTTTCTCCGTTTAAAAAAAAAAACTGCATTTTGGGAAAAATAACGCAATACTCTCGAGCGGCGTGTGATTGAATTTAAATGCGTGCACCCTAAAATTACATCCCTATTTGAAAGTCGTCCCCAATCGTCATGGCGATTCGCCGCGGTCCAAGGAGGTTCAATTGCTAGACAAGTGCACGACTCGATATTATGCTCGTATATTAAAACAATTTTTTCGACTGCGGCTTTAAAAAGCGACAGCTGTCAGTCCGGTTTGACAGACCGAAACTGCAACGCGCGAACCGGACACGAGCGGTTCATTAAGCGGAGAATTTCTCTGATTTTTTTTTTCAACACGTTACAATAAAACCTCAGCGAATAATGCGTATACGTATGAGAGATTCGCAAGTGATCGCTTCAAATTTCAAGCCGAAACGAATGTAAAGACAAAGCTTCATGACACACGATATTTATCATTATTCTATTATTTTATTATTAATTAATTTTATTAATTAAATAATTCTATTTTATTCATGTATTTTTCCTAGACAGCACATTGAGATATAAGAAGACGCCAAAGACGTCTTATGTCTCTCTTTTGAATATTTTGTGTTGCCTGGGTTATTATAGGAAAATTCAACATTGTTTATTATTATCATTAAAGTACGATCGACTGGATTAATTTATTATTATTTGCATTAATTCTAATTAATTTAATATTATTAATTAACTAATTTTATCTTCTTAATTTATTTATATTATTGTACATATAAAGAGCAATTTACGTCATATTATTTATTATCATATTAAAGTGGAACCAACTGAATTAATCTACTATCATTTATATTACAGCTAATGTACAAACAAGGTTTTGAAAGGAAAATTACTGTTGATATTTATAATTTATATTAATTATTTGTATTTTGTTATCAGTATAAGTCGCGCGTGGATGGGAAAAACCAACATTTCATCGCAATTCTTCAAAAATCCAGTCTCTGTTTTATCGAAAAACTATATTCAGTTTGCGGAATTTTTATCTCTCTTTTTTTCTCGATATCGCGATGTAATATCGTTCGACAACGCCAAGTGCGCCACCGCGTTGCGGTAATCAACCGGCGATCTCGGGTTCTCCCGGGAGTTCTAGGTCGATCGATCATCGTCGGAAATTTTACAATATCACGCAGCAACGCGCGAATTAGGATACATGATCGATGACTTTCCAATCGCCGCGCTACATTGTTCGGCCCTAAAGGGTCCGCGCAGGCTCGTTACCTTCGTCGTGGCAATTTCCTGACCGATTAAAGCGACACGATACCTCTGGCATTGCATTACGTAGAGTTGTCCGTTGTCTTTTATAGTTTAAAACACGCGAGGCTTACTATCGCGTGGGTCGCGCAACGAAAAATAACAACAATCGATCTTCAGTTCACACGTGCGAAGCGTTTAAATTGAGAAGATATTTTTTTTTCTTTCTAAATTATACACTTTGTAAAAAATGATTATACATAGTTTAAAAAAGTCGAAGGCTAATAAAAAAAAAATTCAATAACTTATGTATAAGTTGCGGAAAGAATTATATTGGAAAAATTTGTACTTATTGTTAGAGTTGAAATTTTACGAAGAAGAAAAATTAAAAAATTTTTCAGTTTCAATATAATTATTGATGAATGAAATTTAATTTAAACTTTTAGATAATGGAGAAATAATGAGAATTAAAAAATATATATATTTTTAATATTTAACAATCTTTGTCTTCATATCTGCAAAAAACTGTCTGCAATTAATTTTTTCACTTGCAAAAAATTTTTAATTTTTGCAGTTTAATTATCTAGAATTCTAGAAATCTAGAATTGTCAGAATTGCAAGTTTTGAAAGTCTTGAAAAATTCTTGAAATTTTAAATAATCTTCATCGATTATATTCAATCCCTATATTGTTGATTTTCGCTAATTCAAAATCGATACCTTATCATATTTTGATAAGAAATAAATGCAGTGAGGTACACAGATTCAATATTGATAAAATAAAGGACTTAATAAACAAAAATATCAAGTGATATGTCTTCATCTGCAATACAAAGCAGATGAATAAATACTAGAACAGGTCTAATTACAGAAGCAAAAGTAGAATACTCTTAATTTATGTCAAAAGAATTAATTTTCTTCTATCTAGTTTAAATTAATTAGATACAAGGATTATATAATTCATGGCATATATGTAACTACTATATATAGATTTTCAATATGGACAATGAATATTAGAATGCATTCTTATAATAAAATTTAACTTTTAGTTATTAATTATTAATTCAAAATACGTTTTATTATTTATTAAACGGAATGTTACAAAAATTCCGTTTATATTGCTCCAAGAGTTACGTTCCTCGTATTTACCAGAAATTAAAGATTCAAGGGATTTATTTTAATCTACCCAAATGTGATTATTATGTATATGTTTAGAATTAGAATAATTTATTTATCGCAATTTATTGAACAAAACCAATTAAAAATGAAAAATGAAATTTTGCAAAATTGTTTTGACTTTTGTGATATTTAAAAAAGGAAACTTAAGATATTTAAAAGATGTTAGTTTCAATTATATATTATGTAAATTATCTTATACAATGTGTAACAATCTATCATTGAAGTATAATATAATCTTTTTTATCATTGCACTGGACTGCACTAAAGCTTTTATCTTGCTTATATATATTTTTATCAAGTTACTAAAGTCAGATATATTAATTATATTATACAATTATTGAACATTTCTGTGTCTAATTTATAATAATTTACATAATATTTTACATTGCTTATATTGCTTACTTGAAGAAGATTCATGTAAACTTTTAATGTGCACCAAACGTAAACAATACAAATTTAAACATAATTTAAACGTAATTTTAAAATAAACGATACCTGAAAATAAATGTAGCAAGACACGTACTTCAATTTGTACCAACGGTACATAAAAGTGGATGTTACTATTGTAGTTGATATTTATTCGGGCGCTAGTGCACGGTGGCATTTTGTTATAGACAAACTAAGCAGTGCTTGCACTAGTCTAGTTAGATTCTAGAGACACTAGGGACACTAGAGATTTCATGCTGCTGAATCCATTTGTGATATAACCTAAATTGAAACGGAGGATATGTAAACACGTGTGAGTATGCACTGACTGATATCATTAACTGATTTATATTTTTGCAAAAGAAATTTATATTCTCTGCTAATTTTAAAAGTTTAGCAATATTACAAAAATAACATTTCGAAATGTTTATCGAAGTAATTTTAGTACAAAATTCTTAGACATCTCTGATTGATTTTAGGTTAGAAATTTGTTGATGTACAGTATATGTTTTATTATTACAATAATACGTTACTAATTTTTAATTAATACTAATAGATAGAAGAAAGAGCGAAAAGGGAAGAAGGTGCCAGTATGTCGTCTATGATGGATGATACAGTGAAGCATAAGAGTCATAGGGACCGCAATGCGGGCCGTAAGGCAGAGAAGAAGAAAACGAAGAAGGAACATGTTCAGGAATTATCAGATAAGCAGAGAAATCCAAAAGCGTTCACTTTCAATTCCGCGATCAGAGCAGAAAGAAGATTCAGACGGAAACAGGACATCGAAACTAAAAAGCAGCACATACCTCTTGTTGACAGAACGCCTTTGGAGCCACCACCGGTCTTAGTAGCTGTAGTTGGTCCACCGAAGGTGGGAAAGTCACTGGTCATACAATGCTTGATCAAAAGCTACGTCAAACAACCGTTGACCAACATACTTGGTCCAGTCACTATTGTATCAGGCAAGAAACAAAGAATCACCTTCATAGAATGCAACAACGATGTGAACTGCATGATCGACATTGCCAAGGTGGCGGATCTGGTGCTGCTGCTGGTGGATGCCTCCTTTGGATTTGAGATGGAGATCTTTGAGTTTTTGAATATATGCCAGGTACATGGTATGCCCAGGATTATGGGGGTTCTTACTCACCTGGATCTCATAAAGAATGCAAGGCAAATGAGGAAAACGAAAAAGACATTGAAGCATCGCTTCTGGGCGGAGGTGTTTGCCGGTGCAAAATTGTTCTACCTCTCTGGATTGCTGCACGAGGAATATCTCCGTACGGAAATAAAGAATCTAGCGCGGTTCATATCAGTCATGCGGTTCAGGCCCTTGACTTGGCGTACTACCCATCCCTATTTACTTGCTGATAGACTGGAAGACTTGACGTCGCCAGAACTGATCAGGAAGAATCCAAAAGTTGACAGAAATATTTGTTTGTATGGGTATGTGCGAAATAATTGTGTTTTTCATTTTGAGTCATTTTCAAATTGATTGTACTTGAAATCTGTAAAGGATAAGGGAGATAATGTGAATCTAAGAAATATGTTGTCTATTTATTAATAAGAAGTTTGCTTACCATTTATCTTCAATACAGATTTGTGCTTAATGTAGTAGCATTTACTACAGTCCAATATTATATCATTTTCCTTTAACAGAACATCTTTTGATTGCTTAAAAGATATTAGAGGAGGAAATCTATTTCTCACTCTAATCTTCAAAACTACAAATAATATGTAAGTCAGGCAATTACATTGGCCAGGAAAGAAGTTGAAGTGTTGGAAAATAAAGAGCAATTTTGAAAAATTGTATAAGAAGAAAATTTCCTCCTCCAATATTATTTATATAATCAATGAAAAGATGTTCTACTAAGAGAAAGTACATTTCATTAATAACTATTTCAGTAAGAACAGAATGTGTATTAAAAGCAAATAATTTCTTATTAATAAAGTAAAGTAGTTAGAAAAACATAGTTTTTTCTTAAGCATTCATATTATTTTGACTATTTTAATTTTGTATTTTAAAGTTAATTGAAATTTTATTTGTCAAAATCTTAATTATACATTTTAATAACTGACTGAATAAATAACTGAATTTGTTTCCAGATATGTTAGAGGAATACCTTTGAATAAGGATACATCCATTCATATACCCGGCTGTGGAGACATGAAGATCAAGGATGTGAACTTTCTGCCGGATCCATGTCCACTTCCAGAACACATTAAGAAACGAGCCTTGGTGGAGAAGGAACGGCTAATTTACGCGCCGTTTTCTGGAGTCGGTGGTATAGTTTATGATAAGGATGCCGTTTATGTGGAACTGGGCGGCAGCCATTCGTATAAAGAAGAAGACACAGGTTTGGCTGGTGCTCTAATGGATACACAAGAGACACTGGACCAAAAATTGCAGCACAGCGAGTTGAAATTGTTCAGCGATGCCGCGCCTATAAAATCACAAGATGTGAACGAAAGTATGGCTTCTTATACAGGTGAATTGGTTTCAGAGAATGGAAGAGTTCGACGAAAAGTGATATTTAAAGACGAAACGGATATAAAAAATATTTCGAATAAAAATGACGATAATCTGATAAAACATGAAGACGAAGACAGTGAAGATGACGAAAATAATGAAGATGACAGTAATGATGATAATGACTACAACATGGACGAGAATGATGATGATGATGAATGGAGTGACATAGATATTTTAGAAAAAACTGAAAAAGGTGTTAAAAGAAAAGGTACTGACGAAGGCAACATACAAAAGAAAAAGAAGAGAGACTCGATTAATTCAACTATTGAAAACGATGTAAATCTCGACGACTCTGAGTTAACGAATGATAAGAAGATGGAGGCTCCTCAGCAAGAAAATGCAGGAGTATATCATTCTTTAAGTAAGGAATCAGATAAACTGATAAAAAATAAGATCTCGGAAGCATTGAGTCTTTTGGAGGCAACAAAGAAAAATGTGAAGCAGGATGTTGACGACGAAAGTTTCGACGAGCTCAGCGATGAGGATTCGCGTGCAGGATTAGAAATGGACGATGCAGATCGGTTAAGCGATTTCGAAGACATTGCATCCGAAGAAGAAGAAAAGAAAGATGATATCAAGATAAATGAAAGTGAAGAAGTTCCGGATGAATTGAAGTGGAAGAGGAATTTAACAGAGAAGGCGAGAGAAGCTTTCATAAATCGCCAACAAAACAACAAAAATTTGATGAAAATTGTTTATGGAGTATTCGACAAAAGTAATATGATTGAAGAGGAAGAGGATAAGGAAGACGAGAAGCTCGATCAGGATATTGGCGGAATATTCCGCGTAATTCAAGAACAGCAGAGACAGAAAATACAGCAGCGAGAATTGCAAAATCAGGAGGAATCAGTATTCTTCTCGATGGAGAATCCGCGCGATTGGCTGAAGGAGGAGAACAAAGCGTTATTAATCAACCGTTTCGTTACGGGCAAATGGAAGGAATCGGAGGACGCCGAGGAGCTTTTAAAGCTGGACGACGAGGATTTATACGGCGACTTTGAGGATCTGGAGACCGGCGAGAAGCATAAAGCAGAGCATCTCGAAGAGTTGCCGGTGGACGAAGTAGAAGACAAAAAGAAGCTCTTGGAAAAGAAGAAGAAGCTGAAGGAGCAATTTAACGCGGAATACGACAATACGGAAAAGAAAACGTACTATGACGAGCTGAAGGATGAGGTAGAGAGACAAGCTGGAATCAACAAGTCGGAGTTTGAAGGGCTGGATGATGACATCAGGGTCCAGTTGGAGGGCTATCGCCCCGGCATGTACATTCGTGTGGAAATCGAGGCAGTGCCGTGCGAGTTAATTACGCATCTCGACCCGACATATCCGATCATCATAGGTGGTTTGTTGCATGGTGAAGAGAACATTGGCTACGTACAAATGCGGATCAAGAAGCACCGATGGTACTCAAGGATCTTGAAGAGTCGCGATCCACTTATATTCTCCATAGGCTGGCGTAGATTCCAGTCGCTGCCGATTTATTCCAAACTGGAGGACAATTTGCGTCACCGAATGTTAAAGTATACGCCGGAGCATGTGGCATGCATGGGTCACCTTTGGGGCCCAATTACGCCGCAGGGTACCGGAGTTCTGGCGGTGCAGGACGTCGCGAGTAAAGAACCAGGTTTCCGCATCGTAGCGACTGGCTCGATCGTGGAGTTGGACAAGAGCACGGAGGTAATGAAGAAGCTCAAGCTCATCGGCGTACCTATGAAGATCCACCGTAAGACAGCATTCATTAAGGATATGTTCAACAGCGCCCTTGAGGTCGCCAAGTTCGAGGGTGCCCGAATCAAGACAGTCTCGGGCATTCGTGGTCAGATCAAGAAGGCAATCTCCAAGCCAGAGGGCTGCTTTCGCGCCACGTTCGAGGACAAGATAATGTTAAGCGATATAGTGTTTTGTAGGACTTGGTATAAGATCGACGTGCCACGCTTCTACAATCCAGTAACGTCGTTGCTTCTGCCACTTGCGGAGAAGAGTCGGTGGTACGGTATGAAGACTACAGGTCAATTGAAGCGAGAAAAGAATATCCACGCTGAAGCTAATATAAATTCGATATATACACCGATCAAACGAGATGTTAAGGTGTTCAAACCACTGTTCATTCCGCGCAAGTTGCAGAAGGAGCTCCCATACAGAGACAAACCCAAACTCGAGTCCGTGCCGCACTTACGCAAGCCCAAGTTCAAGCAAGGTCGAGTTGCCGTGGTACGTGAACCACAAGAACAGAACATCGCTCGTATAATAAAGATGATCAGAACGAATTACGCGAAAAAGCAGAAACAGTCGAAGGAGGCTATGACGAAGAGAATAACGGCATATCAGGCGCAAATCAAGGAGGAGGAAGCCAAGAAATTAAGGAAGCAAAAGCAGATGAAGAAGGAAATCTTTAGGGATCTCAATAAACTGGAAAAGAAAAAAAGTCGATAAGGCTTCTGAGGTAGAATAGATTGATATTTAAAAAAATTTAGAAACTGTATATAATTTTTTTCACATACAAATGTATAGTATCCGAAAAACTAAAAAAAATAAATATATGCATATTTAATTGGAATGTTGAGTTTATTGGAAACATTTGCACATAAGTTACAATTATTATCATATATTATCGAATATATTAGTCCATACAAAATATAATAACAATGTTAGCCGCGGCGTTTCTATAATATAGCTTGCGATCCACGCCACGATGTGATAGTATGATGGCCTGTCGAATAATTATCTCCGCCCTGAAATTCCATATATCTATATATTACGCCAATTTAAATGCCGCTTATATATTTAATATCCATTAATGCAATAATTTACTATTCGTGAATATATGTATATATAATGATTCATAATAAACATTTAATTACATATTTTGTTTAAATTGTTGTATACAATTAATTGCAATTCTCTCCTTAATTTTTGAATATACATGTTTATACAGGATAATTATACGTAATTTTCTTTACCTGTGTGAGCATTAGTAACTCGTCTTGTGTGTCAACAATTTTAACGGGAAACGGAGAACCTGGCACCAAGATACCAGCCCAACGAACCTCCACTCTGTAGTCCCCGGGTTCCGTCGGATCGTACCGACAGAGAATGATTCGATCTTTTTGAGTCTCTCGTTGCATCTCCACCCTAAACGCTCCCTTAGGTCCACGTACTCTTACTGTAAGTTGACCGGCACCGGCACCTCGCGTGTCGCAGATAAATCGCGATTGAAAAGTCGCCAACACGCCATGTTCAATACCCGGCCCATAGACGCGTACCTAATAATTCGAGCGTGTTAATTAATTTAATTAAAATTTAATTTTGATTAATATATACATCTCAGCCTTAATAGTTTCATTAATCGTAAAATTTATTCTGTTCTTTAAACGTATCAATCTTAACGATTACAACGCTAGAGTTAAAAAATTTTTTTAATTGAGGATATTTTATATTTTTGGCTAAGGCTATACTTATTGGTATATTTAGGATTTTTATTACTTGCAGTAAAAATTGCAATGTATTCAAGTATCGAATACCTTTGAAGCGTCTGGGGCTCCGGAGACGCGTAACGTGAATGGAGAACCGGGAACGTGTTCTCCAGCATATTTGATCGTTAGTGCGTGTCGTCCCGCCTCTTGAGGTTTCACATTTAACGTGAAGGTAGCATCGCCATGATCGTATAGCTCGCAGTATGCTACTTTATGCGGCCCAACGCAGTGTGCTGTTAATTCACCTACAAAACAAGTTCTCGGTTAAATAAAAAGAAAATAATTATTTATTACAAGCATGAAACGAATCTTTACCTGGTCCTGCTCTTCTGGTATCGATGAAACTTCTGATTTCTTGTCCAACGATACCATGCTTCAATCCATCTCCGGAACAGATAACTCTAGACGCGTCGGCAGCACTCGTAACATTAATTTGCAATGGACAGCCCTTCAATTGCCTTCCATTCCATGATACAGTCATCAAGAGTGGATCCGGCGTTAGCGGTATATAGCTTGCACGATAGACGCTATCGCCTGTTTTATATAAAAAATATTTAAAATCTCTTTCATTTCTATTTGCAGCTTCATTTGTCTTTTTTTTCTTACCTAAATGTTGTAACATGACATTAAGTTCACTGGTGGGTGAAAATAATTGTACTTTTGGAGTTCCATTACCAGCTTGAGAACCGTCTATGGTAAAACTGACTTCTTCGCCGCACTTGGCCGATGTTAATCCTCGTCCTTTCAATAACACTCGACTCGTATCCTGCACAGGCGGCTAAGAAAAATTTACAATGATTATAAAATGTTTAGTTGAAAGCACATTTAATCCTAATTCGTATTAACTCCGAAATTTTTTAAATTGCAATTCAATTTAACAGTTAAATTGGATAATCCCGTTTGAATTATTCACATTTCTATTAGTTGCCACTGCTTCTTAATATCGTTAATTTAACTAAAACAATGGAATTAAACAATTTAATTTAAAAAATGTATTATTAAATTTGACTGAAATTTAGTTTATTATTTATTAAAATAAATATGTTAATATGGACACATATTAGAAGTTAAAAATAATAAAATGTTATTTTTTAATTCAAAGAGATTGAATTATCATTGCTCTTTTGATATTTAACAAAATGATATTCGCAGATCCACTTTTGCATATACATTAAATTAACGTATCTTTGCTTACAGTTAACGTAATTGAATTTTTTTTTCATTGTAGAAACAAAATTCGAGGAATAAAATCATGTAACTTTAAATTATGTAAGATTATGAAAAACAATTGTTATAAATAATTTTTCACATCTTAATTGAAACAAAAAATATCTATGTTTACTGGACTCGCGAATGCTAATTAGGATTAAACTCGAAATCATTGATAAAAACCTCCAAATCCTGTACGAGTGCGAGTTTCGGTGCGCCGGGAAATGGTGTTCCGTTGAACAATATCTCTAGATGATGTTCGCCACTGCTCATTTGTGGCGGAACGAGCTTCAACCTGTTGCTAGACGTCATTTCAAAGTTGAGAAGATGATCGCCGACGGTTCCGCTGATCTCGCCGGGTCCGGCCTCCGCGGTGTCAAAGCTGATTTTGTTCGACGGATGCAATCTCAAGCGACCAATCTCATCGCATACAGCGGACCAACCACCTACAATCATTGCATACATTGTAAGTTCAATAGAAATACCATTCACTGCTTATTAATCCTTAAACACTTTTTTGATATGGCATATCCAGCTTTTTTCTAATATTTTTTTATATTACTCATAACTTTCTTATTAATAAAGATACACATTTGTTTGGTTCCGTTATATTCCTTAATGTCTGGTGTTTCAATTGAAAAACATTTTTTACAATGTTTATTTTTATGAAGGTTATAAGTAATCAAACTGAGGAGATATGCCATACATCAATGTGTTGTTCCCATAGTGAGGTATTTAAGGATTAAATGACATTTGATGTATTCACCAATGACACGAAGATTCCGCGTATCGATGATCTTCGGATGCCACGGAGATCCCGGCAGCTGTTGTCCCGCAGAGACAACCCTCACGTCAAACATTCCGATTTCATTTGGTACGTAAGACACATTCCACGTACCAGGATTGGCTCCAGCTTCAATGGTGGCCTTAGAAACACTGTCCGGTCCATCTACCTACAATACAGTTTAATTAAAAAAGAATACCGTACATCCCACGTATAACTTGACGAAGCGACTTTCTTAGTTGTACGCAAATACCTGAACTGCTGGCGGACTTCTCGTGCCAGTGACGATAAAATGTGCCGGTTTACCCACATGACCGTTCAGCAATCCTTCGCCTTTCGCGCGAGCTTGCCCGACTGCGTCGACAGTGCATACTACTGGAGTACCAGGCACAGAACATCCGCCTATTGATAACAATAATGAAATAAAAAGAATGCAAGAGACTCCTTTCTTAAAATTAACTTTCCAAAGCTGACATCAAAATCTGTAATACTGAATCTGTAAAACTCATTTAATTTATGTTAACTAAAAGTACATTAATTTTAAGTAATCAAAATGTCAATACCATAATCTATATAAAAAAGAATAAATTCTAAGGCTAGTATTCATAGTTCGTTCTTATTTTAAGACCTTTTAAATAATGTCTAATATGGCTCTGTAATTAACATATAAAATCTTTAAGGCAGGATATCTTTAAGATATTTAACGGAATATTTCTATACTTAAGATAGGATCTTCCTAAATATAGGAACCAGTTATGAATACCAGCCAAGTTTATTCTAATAACAATAATTTAAATTCGCAGATGTAATATAAAAAATATAATCGAGTGGACTTAATAAATCCACCGTCACCTCCGTAGAGTTAAAATTTCTTAAACATAATTACCATAAGTAACGTTGATCATGTAGGTGCCGGGAACGCTGGGCGAGAACTCGATCATCTCGGCACCGTCGTTGAGTGGAGTGACTTGTAACGGGATCTCTTGTCCCGATGGGCTCGTCGCTGTTACGTCCAGATCAGCAGTGCCGGCGTCGGCTTTCATCACTGTAATCATCCAACGAATTACGTAAACTATAATCCGCGATTCTTCCTGATGTTATTGTCGAGTGGTAGCGCACATCAATTGGTACCGCGCCGCGCAAGATGTGTATCGTGACTGTTCATTATGCGTATAACGCAAGACTATTTGAAAGTAGTTTACGTATGCCTGAGCTATCCGCTGCGATTATATCCCAGACGTGGCCTTGAAACGTAGCTGCATAGTTATGCTGCACTAGAAAACGCTCGCTACTTTCTCCCGCCTATGCGTATGCAGCATTATTTACATAAGCGCGTCGGACGCAAGAGATACATTTACGAATAAGTGCGATATTATGCCTATTGACACGTTTACGTTCGATTAATCTATAAACGATTACTTGGTATTTAATGTGACTCTTTTCACTCTTTTCTCTTAATCAATAAAACTTTATTCCAATCGTATCGCTCAATTTAGGTATGTTGATAGCATCGATACTTTCTTTCGAAAACGATCTTATTCGCATTATAAATAAAAATCAAATTATGTGTAATCATGCGTGAAAAATATTTTTAGAAAGCAAAATATATAACAAATATATAACGAATACACTATTCAAAATTTATATTAACAATATCTTGTTAAATAATAATGTTAACTGAATAAAATTCATAACAAAATTTATTATATCTTTTTTACGATAATTCATTTTTCATGATTTTTGGCATTTGTTTACTTTTATATTAAGTTTGCTCATAAATAAAAAAAACACTAGTAATTTTAATTCGCAAGCTGCTATAATAAAATTGTTATAATTACTGAAAATGTGTTTTATGTCCGTTGTATATATTTAATCCAAGATTGTGTGTGGTGTATATGTGCCGAATATTTCAAGATTACATTTACATAAAATATTTACGTACTGTTTATATTAAATTTATACAAATCTTTTTTATTATATTTTATACGTAAACGCACCTTCCTGAT